ATTTAAATTAAAAAACCCCTCTAAGACATGTAAATTCTACCAACACACATTGGGGTAGCACATCACATTATGTCGTAGTAGTAAGAGCGGTTTTTAGCCGACTTAAAAAAAGACGCAAGATGCAGGCGAAGATAGAACCAGGGTTGCCTCGTACTGTGAATTTTACAATGAGCCCCTGAACTGCCACATCTATTTTTGAAAAAGATAATATTTTCCCGATAGGAAAAACATAAAGTAGTCTCCATTGAGTGTTGTTTCTTTTGGCTATTTTAGCTCTGTCGTAATGTGCAGATTTTATAGACAAACCTCGTAAAGACTTTTTTAAATTCGCTATATTTTACAAGATATTCGATTTAAATTATTTTAACGCATCATTATTATCATCATAATGGTTGTAATGATGTCAAAATTGTTTAATTTGGATATCCCATAATATCATATTCATATATCAAGGTATGAAATTAATGAAAATGAAATGAAAACTTTACATTTTTCTATGTAAGAAATTAGAATTTTGTTATTCAAACGTTTATCAGAAAACAATCATTCATAAAAGAAACGGCGCATAAAAGAAACGGCGAAAGAAACATCGCACGTATCCTCTATTCGTGTTATTTTTTTAAGACCAATGCCTTTTTTATAGAACAAGAGTGGCAGACGAGCACATCGTTAAGAGCAAAAGTATCTAAAAATAAGTGGATGTTGTGACCTATAGACATCTATCCTCGATTAAAAATCAATATGCGTTGTTACCCCCGAGGACTAACATAGAATGCCTCCTTACCAGTAAAAAGGAACTCCGATTCTCTATATTTTCAACCCGGAACTCAGTAGCAATAAGCTGCTATTTTACGCTAGTATTCTGTGCTCGCGTGATCCTACCTTAGCCAAGCCGACAGAATATAGCCGCAACGTTGCTGAACCACTCTAAAATTTTTATATAATGAAACAATAATCATCATCATCATCATTACAGCCTTTCATAAGTCCACTGCTGAACATAGGCCTCCCCCAAGGAATGACACAAAGCACGGTCCTGAGCCACCTGCATCCATCGACTTCCTGCATGTCTTACCAGGTCGTCACTCCATCTCGTGGGGGGTCGCCCTACACTTCGCCTACCGGTACGAGGCTGCCACTCAAGAACCTTTCTTCCCCATCGGTTGTCGGTTCTTCGAGCTATATGGCCGGCCCACTGCCACTTCAGCTTACTAATCCGTTGGGCTATGTCGGTTACTCTGGTTCTACTGCGGATATCCTCATTCCTAAGTTTATCATGCAGAGAAACTCCGAGCATAGCCCTCTCCATAGCTCGCTGAGCGACCTTGAGCTTCCTCATACGGCCAGCAGTGAAGGAACACGTCTCAGATACGTAAGTCATCACAGGCAACACGCACTGGTTGTACAATTTCGTTTTAAGGTTTTGAGGAATGTCTGACGAGAAGATGTGTCGTAATTTCCCGAACGCTGCCCAGCCGAGTTGAATCAGTCGATTGACCTCTCGGTCGAAGTTGGACTTACCTAGTCGGACTATTTGTCCCAGGTAAACATACTCATCAACAACTTCGAGCTTAGTGCTCCCAACAACTACCGGCATAGGTGTGACATGGACATTGAACATGATCTTTGTTTTATCCATGTTCATCTTAAGACCTATCCGTTGGGAGACACTATTGAAGTTATTCAGCATGGTGCTTAGATCCTCCAGAGATTCTGCCATAAGGACTATATCGTCGGCAAATCGAAGGTGAGTGATGTACTCGCCATTGATTTTAATACCATATCCTTTCCAGTCCAGTAGCTTGAAAACGTCTTCCGGTGAAGAGTTTCGGGGATATAACGTCACCCTGCCTTACACCTCTCTGCAGTTGGATAGGTTTCGTACTCTGGTTCTGTACTCGGATAGCCATCGTAGCCCTACTGTACAAGCACTTCAGCACTTCGATATACCGACAGTCAACTTGGCCCCGCTGAAGGGACTGCAGCACCGCCCAAATTTCGACGGAATCAAAGGCTTTCTCATAGTCCACATACGCCAGGCATAGTGGCAAATTGTACTTCTCGAACTTCTGTACAACTTGCCGAAGGGTATGTATGTGGTCTATGGTGCTAAAGCGCTTTCGGAAACCGGCTTGCTCGGGAGGCTGGAAGTCGTCAAGTCTGCGCGCGAGACTATTCGTAATTACTCTCGAAAACAGCACGCAGACGCGGCTCAGAAGGGAAATCGGTCTGTAATTTTTCAAAAGAGCGTTGTCACCTTTCTTGAAGCACAAGACCACCGCACTTCTGCTCCACTCCTCCAGTGTAATGCCACCATGGAGGACGGAATTAAAGAGCCTCTGAAGGACTTCAAGTCCGGTTTTCCACCCGCTTTCAGAAGCTCCGCTGTAATTCCATCCTCGCCTGGGGCCTTGCCGTTTTTAAGATGCTGGAGAGCTGAAACAATAATAACTTTGTTAAAAATTAAAATGTATAGACCCGTAGAAAAATAAACTATATCTCCTTAGATATAAAATCAATTACGCTAATATTTCAAAACTCGAAAACGGCTCGAATGAGTTTGATAAAAAAAATTGTGTGCGTTTGAGTGGGTCCCTGGATGGTGTAGATTAACAAATGGAACCGGTAGGTGGCGCTGTTGTCAAGATCCAGACATCACCCGTGCTAAGCCAGAGCGGATCGCTAGTTCTGTAATAAAAAAAATTTGATTTCTATGAATGAAATGTTAAGTACCAAGGTTAGTCCAAAGGATCACTTGGTAAATTTTACGTGCTTATGCGATGCATAGAATGAAGATAACGGGTTGTAAAGGAAAATTATAAGCCTGATTTAGAAACCGTTGTAAGATAGTTGACGGCTCCGTGGCGCAGTGGCTTAGCAATGAGTTGTTGCGCTGGGGGCCGCGGGTTTGAATCCCGCCCGGAACAAGTATGTATGTTTGTCCTCGTGCAATCTATGTTTATAAACTGCCACCACGATATAGGAGAAAATCCTAGTGTGAGGGTAACGTTTTTATTTAAATAAATAAAAATAAATATTAAAAAGTTCTAAACCTTAAATTGCTGTTAATATGTCTCATGAATAAGGAATAGTAAGTATTTTTTTAAATGCACGAAATCAATTGACCTTTATTTCACCTCCAAATAACGTTTAAAAGAAGCTGAATAACGTGAGACTTTTGGATATCGTCTTGCTTGTCAAGTTGACAAAAATGTCAACGTATTGGCTTGGTATTTTATAATAGTATTACGATTTTATTATATGATTTTATTAATGATAAGATTTTAATGTCTTTGCTTGATCTCTCCCCGCGCCTACGGCTTTATTAAAACACTCCAGGAGTAGGGCAGACTAGACTACGTGGAGTCGGGGCGTTCTGATTCGGTTTTAGTACAGATTCGACCTATCTTTAAAGTCAGGTTGCCCTAGACTCTGCTATGATAGTGGTAAATGCAACAATCTAATGTGAATTGTTATAATTTTGTTTTCTGAAAAACCTCTTGACATTCCTCAACTGCAACTCAGTTCGTTGTGTATGCGACCCATCTTCAACTACGAATGGATTGTCTGGGTCCGAGTAATTAACTTTTTTATGGGTGACCCGTTTTGTTAAATGCAATTTTTATTTGTTTTTATCGTAATTAACTCAAAAATACATTTTCGAAATCCGAAAACAACAGCCTTCTAAACTGAAAACATAATTAAAATCAAGTACTCGACGTCTACTTCATAAGACTAGACCAAATTGACATATTTGCATTACGTTATAAGCAATTTTTAGTGAAATTTATTTTTATCGTAATTAATTCAAAACGCATTTTCGACATTTAAAAACACTACAAAAGATTCATGTTTAACCCTGAAAAGCCACCTAAATTGAAAACGTAATTAAAATCAAGTATCGGACGTCTATAGCCTGGGTTGGCTTGTCAGTTGGTCTTGTTGGTCACTTTCTTGTTTATCTGTCATTCCGGATGAAATTTAGTTGATTTTAAGCTAACTAACTTTCCGATGGGCTGGAAACTAAATTTTAATTTTAGCTCAAATTCGGATGACAATTCAATTCAATTTATTTATCTCTTCACAACTTACAATGAGTAGACAGCTACGTAGCGTAGTGACTTATAATGAGTTGCAGCGCTGGGCGCCGTGGGCTCAAATCCTGCACGGAACATGTATTTGTATGGCCTAAAAATAATTGTTCCAGGTCTGGATGTTTGTCCTTCTTTATAATTGTATATGTTTGTAAACTCCTTCCACGATACCGAAAAAAATGCAAATGTGGGGGAAACGAATTAAAAAAAAAAAGAACGTGTGCGTGTTGCCAGTGTTGACTTATGGATCTGAAACGGGGTCCTCCACTGCTGGTTGAATAAGGAAGCTCAAGTTTGCTCAGCGAGCTATGGAAAGTGCTATGCCCTAAGCATATTTTCACCGCGTGATGGACTTAAAAATGAGCATATCCGCAATAAAACCGAGAGTAGCCTAACGGATTTAGCCTGAAGAGCCAATGTGCAGGCTGAGATGACAACGCATCTGCATTTTAATTCTTAATCTAATCTGCTCGTTTGTCGCCTTTATTTTTTTAAAAGTGGGCTGATTACCGTCTGGTAAGAATATAGTCGCTAAGTATAGCGCGCATGAAACAATTGTCTTCTTTAATACGTCACGTATTTCATAGTCACTGCAAGTTTTTCTTTAACTCTTATGTTAAACGAAATAGAATATAGACATGTATTTTTTTATTATTATTTTATTGATTTAGTAAAATATAACTAAGTTTTTTAACGCAAATGTCACTGCTTGACATTGACATTGACATGTTATTGTCGCAGACAGATGTCATCTTAGTTTAGTAATTTCATACACATTGTGTGACATTGTGCAATTATTTAAACTTGTATTCCTAAGTATTTGTTTACTAGTAGATTTTGAATTGAAAGTATACTTTTATTAAAGTTATTAAAATATACCAATAGCAGTTTGTGTCAACAATCAACATGAGGCTCGTAGATACTGCGAAACTTTTAGAACTTCAAAACAAACCTTCGAAAATTCGTAATATTTGCATTGTTGCACACGTGGATCACGGAAAAACTACCTTAGCCGATTCCTTAATATCTAGTAATGGTATAATATCTCAGAGAATGTCAGGAAAACTACGGTATATGGACAGCAGACCGGATGAACAAGAGAGAGGTATTACCATGAAAAGTAGTAGTATTTCCTTATACCATGTGTTAGAAAAGCAAGAATATCTTGTAAATCTTATTGATTCTCCTGGCCACATTGATTTTTCAAGCGAAGTATCCACTGCAGTTAGATTATGTGATGGAGCAATTGTTGTGGTAAGTAAAAACAATAATATGAATAACAAATATACTCCATCGATTTCTCATAATTAATGTGAATCATCATCAAATTACTGAATTCACCCAGTGATCTAAAACCAATTTCCCTACTTTAAAGAGTCAATTTTTTTTAAATTAAATGGCATCAAACTGGTGTGTCTCATAAGAAAATGATGAAAGATGTTAATTTTGTCACTTTATAGTGATCATGATGTTATTATCTTCAACCCACTGCAGCCATAACTTACTCTATTTTCCCTTACCATCAGTTGTACCTAAACAGTCTACTGCTGAATATGGGTTTCAGATATTGTGACATTGCCATATTGTTAAATTGTGAAACTTAAAAATTGTTTTGATGACCATGTATCTAGCAGCAAGAGTAGTAGTAGCGGTGTAAGGTACCTACTCTACCTTACACAGTTGCTATGCAATGATACAGCTCTGATTCTATCCCAATCTATCTCTGATCTTATTGTATAAGCATTATATTGGGTATATATCAATCACTAATAAAAAACTAGATACACAATCCCATGCAACCATTCTCTAAAAACTGTCTCCAATTGTTTTGATATAATTCTAGTTGAAATAAAAAATATATTAATGTAAATTCAACCTTAAATGCATTGCCTAAAGTTGTATTCACAAAACTACGCTACAAATTAAAAGTGCACCTAAATGATTGAGTGGGCGCTCCTTCGATAAGGACATTTTTAGTCACTGATTGTGTATCTAGTTTTTTATTAGTGATAGATGTGGGTATATGAAGGTTATGATGAGTGAAACTTGTGACATAAATTAACTTCTTTACAATTAATAGCTTGAGAGAAAATATGGAAATGTTAGTATTTGAATTCTGTCAGAAGTAGGACATAATTTGGAAACACTCGCAGACACAGGCATAATTGTAAGAAAATAAAAAATTACAATAGATATGCTTAAAGTATTCAATAATAATATAAGACAATTCTTTCACACAAGTTTATAGTTTGTATAGTATATTAAATAATACATATTTGTAAGTTTTACATATTATAAAGAGAATATGTTCTTTTTTTATTCTTCATAACACCTTACAACTAAGGTACCAATGGGCGAACATAATGCTTGTGGGCATATATATATATATATGTATATAATACTATATAAATATATATACATACGTACAATATACATATATATACACATACCTATTACACACACACACACACACACACATACATATATATTTACAATGCCATAAATCATTCTTATCATGAAACAATGTCTTGTTTTAAAAGATGTTTATATGAATTAATCTCTTGAACAAGCATTTGCTAGGCGCTTTTTATATGTCTTTGGATATTAATATAGACAAGGAATTCCAAAATAGAGTAGCCTGAAAGGTAAAGGATTTTCTAGTGAATCTAGTGTAATGAGTCAGCACACTAAATGTATGATTAGATGAGGACTAGAAGTCTGTCATGATTAGAAAAAAGAAATTGAAATCTTTCTTGAAGATGTAGAGAAGAAGCTGGATTGCTTAATATAGAAAAAAAGAGCAAGTAGAATTCTTGAATTGTGCCTCTGTTTGATTTAAGCTGTTTTTTTGGGTTAACAGAGACTCCAAAGAGCCTTGATCATCTAACAGCTTTTAAGTTCCTATGCATTATGGTGATCATTGTTAGGAGCCTGCACATACATTTGTAGGTTGTTAGTATACAGATGGTACGAACAGTTGACATTTGAAGTGATGAAGTTCTTCTTCTTCTTTCTTTTTTTATGGCGGTTTTTAATTATTCGCCAATATCAGCGTGGAAGTGTTTATAGAGTACAAGCTCAGTAGTTACAAATATTATGCCCATGTACTAAAGAAGATTGTGATAATACAAGTATCTTATTTTCTTTAAACAATTAAATTTTCCCTTTTTATCTTGTAATACTAGTGGTTGTACTGTTGAATTACCTAGAACAAATGACAAACACAGTTGCTATAACTACATTAGTATATTAGTATTGACAAACATTAAACTTTTATACTATTAGTGTTAATAAAATCACACAGAATATATACATAAGGAGTATTTGTGTAGGTTAAAAGTGAATCAAAATTTATAGGACGAGGGATGTCAGGAGGGAGATGATCATAGAGTGAACAAGATAATTTAGGACAGTTAAAAAAAATATGGTCTGAGGTTCCCTCATCTAACCCACATTCGCAGAGGGAACTATCCCTAATCCTCAGTTTGGCTAAATGTACTGGTGTACGAGCATGGCCAATTCTAAGTCTACAAATAGTTGATGTTGACTGTTTGTTAGCTTTATTAAATTTGAAAAACCATGGTTTTGGAGGGATGGCACATTGTATAGCAGCATAGTGTTTACCTTTTATATTTTGAGTGGCTTTCCATAATGTGTTCCAATTATTACTTAACTTCTTCTTTGCAAGTAACACTATGTCTGAAGAGTAAATTAAATTACATGGCAAACCATTTCGACTTGCATTTTTAGCCATCAGATCAGCTGTTTCATTGCCCTTAATGCCACTATGACCTGGAATCCAAGCTAAGGAAACCTGAATGCCCTTGAGATGACATCTATACAATGTGTGTTTAATTTTGAGGATCAAGGGTAACTTATATTTACTTTGGAACTGGTTTGACAAAATTGCTAACAAACAGCTTTTGGAGTCGGTAAGAATAACTGACTTATTTAAGTTGTGTGCTTCTATATAAATCAAAGCTTCATAAATTGCCGTGGCCTCGCCAGTAAAAGTGGAAGAAATAGAAGGGCATTTAAAATTGAGGATTATTTTGTATCTGGGAATCCAAACTGCTGCTCCAGTGCAACTTTCACCTGACTTTTTGGAGGCATCAGTGTATATAATAAGCCAGCCTTTCCATAAATTATCTATGACTCTACTTAGTTTACTATTTGCTATAGGGCAATCTTTCTCAATACCAAGGTCGAGGTGGATATTTGGTTGGAAAATAATTGCATCATATGGGATATCAAAGATGGGACAGGACTTGCATTGTGATACTGGGTGTGGTAGATGGAGTAATGTTACCAAACTGTTGGATAAGCAGGGAGATTCTTTATGAATCCAGTAATGCTTTGTTGAAATATATTCCAAAAGAAGGTGTAATTTAGAAATGAGAGGATGTGAAGAGAGTTGATAGATTTTAAAAAAGAATCTGTCCGAAAGATATTGTCTTCTTAGGTAAAGAGGGGGATCTACACATTCGACTTGGAGAGCATTTATTGGGGAAGATTTCATTGCCCCAATGATTATACGAAGGCTTTTCGTCTGAATCCTGTCTAGGATCTTTAGGGAAGACTTATTACATGGTTCCAAGACAAAGCACGTATAATCCAAATGGCTACGAATAAGGGCGTTGTACAATATTTTTTGAGAGAATGGATGGGAGCCCCACCAAACTCCCGATAACGCGCGAAGAATATTTATATTTTTTTCACATTTTTTTGAGACATAGTTGATATGATGAGAAAAGGTTAGTTTGGAGTCAAGAATAACTCCCAAAAATTTTACATTCTCCCTAATAGGGATAGGTTCATTATTAAAGAGAATGTCAATTTCAGGGAGTTGCCTATGGCGAGAGAAGGTGACAAGACTGCTTTTGGGAACAGACAAGGACAAACCATGATCAGTTAACCAATCTTGTAAATAGGACATTGATAGATTCAAGTGGGAACAAGCTGTAGCAAGGTTATCCAAGGAAATATATATAGCTATATCGTCTGCATATTGGAGGATGTTACAGAATGAGTTAACAGAAAGTTCTAGATCATAAGTATAGATAGAATAGAGCAAAGGACTAAGTACTGAGCCTTGTGGGAGACCCTTCCATACAATTCTTGGCGGGAGTAGAGAATTTTGACTATCAATATAAATGGATCTAGAAGAGAGAAAGTTAGAGACAAAATTTACTATCCTCACTGGAATACTCAGATTAAGCATTTTTTGCCTGAGCACAGGAAGAAGTACATTATCATATGCAGACGAGATATCTAGAAAGACACCAACAAGATATTCACGTTTAGAGTAAGCTATACGAATATCAGTAACTAGAGTACTAAGGCTATCCATGGTGCTTAAGCCCTTTCGGAATCCAAATTGGCTTTTTGCTAGAAGGTTTTTGCTTTCAAGAAACCATTCTAGACGATTTTTTATTAGGTGCTCAAGAATTTTGGCCATGGTACAAGAAAGAGCAATAGGGCGGTAGCTTGAGGGATCAGTGTGAGGCTTACCTGGTTTGTAAATAGGTAAAATAACTTGGGATTTCCATTCTTCAGGAGGAATACCGGACATGTAAATACAATTTAAAATAGAAAGAAGATGGGCTTTAGTAGATTCACTGCTATTAGTAATAAAAGAATAAGGAATTCCGTCAATTCCTGGTGAAGAGTCTTTAAGGACACTAAGAACAGCATATAACTCCTCATAAGAGAAAGGGAAGTCAAAACTGTGTTGATAGTGCAAGGACTGTGATTGAAATACTATACTTTCATTGTAAGATGGTACTGAAAGAGGAGCAAGATTACTAGCAAAATTTTCAAGCCAATAAGACTGATCATTAGAAATAGTGTTTTCAGAGGCCAAAACTGAACATCGGAATTTTTTAATATTTTTCCATACTAATGATGGATGAGTCCTAGGCGACAGTGACTCACAGAATTTAACCCATCCAGCCTTTTTCTTCCCAGATAATAATTTTAATGTTTCAGCAGCAGTTTTTTTATAAAAAATATAGTTGCCAAAATTCATAGAGAGGGAATATCTTACTTCAGCTTCCTTTCTCTTCTTACATGCTACAGAACAATCTTGATCCCACCAAGGTGGTGAAGGAGCATTATTTTTATAAGGTTTTTTGATGGGGATTGTCTTATTGGCAGCAGATAAAATAGCATTTTTAAAAGTAGAATACACCTGAAGAGCATTATCTTTCTGAACAGGAGGAAGGGCTGATAGTTCTTCCTCTAGAACTGTGGAA